AATGTAATATGAGAAAATATTTCACAAGAGAAATATTACGTGAGAAAAATGTTGTATGAGAAAAATGTTATACGAGAAAAATGTTATATAAGAAAATGTTATATGAGAAAAAATTATATCAGAAAAATATTTGTTGAGAAAAATGTTACACTAGTATAACCTAGTAAAATCACTACTGGTTAAGATTAGCAATTACCTTATTATTATTATTATTATTATTTTATTTTATTTTTTTATTTTTTTATTTTATTTTTTTTTAGGAAAGTGTGGAGTTTATACATTTTGAGTACAAGGTCGAATTTACTATTCTATAGGGTCTCTTCTTCTAGTTGATAGAACCTTAAGATTTCTCTAATTATATATTTACAATACTAAATTTGAAATAAGAAATATACTAGCTATAAAACTTTAACTTTGTCAGAATACCTTAGAATTTATTAAATCATTATTAGATCATTTAAATCTTTTTGTAGCTAATTTTCAATTACTTTCTTCTATAACTAATATAAGTAAACTCCACCTTTTTATTAAAGCTAATTATAGTTTGGATCAATATATCTATAATATGCTAATGGCTTCACAAGTTGCTGCAGTATAGGTAGAAGGTAATGATCATATAAGCAATACGAATTAAGATATAATTGTTCAGTTACAATCTCAAGGTCTACAATGAGTATCTGAACTGAATAGTTGTTATGATCTGATGCAATATCCACTTCTTTTTTCTAGAAGTAATTATAGTTAGCACCCTAAGATCTTATAAAACATATCACAAAAAAAAGTTACTATTAGATAGTACTATTCTTACAAATTATATTTTCAAAAATCTTCTCCAACATTACTCTTTCTTAGAGGTTGACTTTTTCAACAATATGTTGTTAATAATTATGTTAAAATTTATCTACATGTCTTAACTACTTATGTTTTAGTCAAGATAAAATTTATAAAGAATATTATCAAAGATTACAGGATTCTTTTCAATCAGAATTTGTTAATGTATATAAAGTAGAATATCATATTATTTTACCTTTATTTTTTATAGATAATTCTCAAGATATGTATTACTGATATCAAGATACAATAGCATTAGTACAATCTCGTAGAAAACTAGATGTATTTATTACTATTACATGCAATCTTTGGTGGTCAGAAATTACATCTGAACTTTTACTGATGCAAACTCCACAAGACAGACCAGATCTTACAGGTAAAAAACTAATTTTACTTATTTGATAAATTTATTAATCTTTATAATAAATATTTACTTATTATGAGTTTGAATATTTATTTCAGTTTTTATTATTTATCAAACTATGATTATAGAAATTTTAGTTATTACAAGTTTAGATATTTATTTTAGTTTTATTATTTATTAACAACAATTATCATAATAATTCCTTATAGCAACTTTGCTATTTATTTACTTTTATTATTAATCTTAATTATATTTGTTTATTTTAAATTTTATTATTTAATTTGGTTTTAATTATCTTATTTCTATTTATTTAATAATATTATTGTTCATTTTAATTTTAATATTTACAGTTTATTTAACTCTTGCAGCTCGAATTTTTTGTGCAAAATTACAAGAACTCAAGAAAGATTTTTTTGATAGAGATATTCTTGATCAAGTAATAGCTCATATGTATGTAGTAGAATTTCAAAAATATGGTCTCCCTCATACATATTTGTTATTAATATTTCATCATATAAATAAACTTTATGGAGCTAATAATTATGATGCTATCGTATCTGTAGAATTACCTGATCCAGCAGAACAATCTAGACTATATCAAACAATAACCTCTTTCATAATTCATAGTCTATATAAGTCTTTTAACAAGAATGCTACCTGTATGAAAGAAAATTTGTGCAGTAAACATTACTTTAAAGAGTTTGTTAAGGAAATAGCAGAAGATGATAACTCATATCTGCTATATCAATAATGTGATAATAGATGATATGTAATAATTAGAGATGTAAAATTAGATAATCATTGAGTTGTTCTATATAACTTTACCTTTCTTTTAAGTTTGATTATCATATAAATATTAAAATATGCTCTAGTATTAAATTAATAAAATACCTGTATAAATATGTATATAAGAGTCATGACTGTGCTACTCTAAAAGTTACTAATACAGATAAATTTTCAGCTTCAATATTTCAGACATTAATCTTTTAGTATTTTGCTTGCAAATTCATTTTCCTAATCAACAAGATATAATATTTTTGAAAACATCTGATCTAAGTAGCATCCTTTCTGATGAACAAAACAAAAAAATAATATTAACGGAATACTTTAATATTAATTAAACTGATCTGAATACTTGTAATTATTTGTATTATGAATTTCTACAACACTTTATCTGGAATTAAACTACTAAACAATAGAAAAAATAGCATCAAGAAAAAATAATAGGAAGAATATATACAGTTAACTCAAAGAAAGAGAAATGTTATTATTTGTATATACTTTTAAATAATATTAAAAGAGCTACATTATTCAAAGATTTAAGAATTATAAACAATTATGAATGTATAATATTCAAAAAAGTGCAGCAAAATAAAAACTTATAGAGACAGAAAATATTTACTATAAAACTATTCAAGAAGCTACTCAATATCAAATGCCTTATATACTATATTAACTATTTGCTATAATATTAGTATTTGGAAAGCTAAGTAATATTCGATCTCTGTAGAATAACAACTTCAATACTATGTTTGAAGATTTTGTTAAAGAAGGAATTCCAAATAATTATCTTCGAGTCAATGCAGTTCTTATTCAAATAAATAATTTCTTAGAACAATATTACAAGTCTTTAAATAAATATAATCTTCCTCCGTTTACTTTATCTAGCATAAGTCTCTTTGATAAATTTTTAAAATAATACTAATGAATTAAATATTTCTATAATTACTAAAGATTTAGCAAAAATTGAATTATTAAATAAAAGCCAAAAACTGATATTTAATACTGTTATAAATCATATTAAAAATAATTAATTAGCTGTTGTCTTTATCGATAGACCTGTAGGTATATAGAAAATACTTAACTTTTAATTAAATATTTCAACAAAAAATTTTTATAATTTAATAAAATTGTACTCTATATAAACATATTTTTTATTAATATTCTCTATAAATTATTATTTTGCATAATCTTGAACTTACAAAATAAAACTTATTATATATTTAAATTATATGAAACTGAATAATTATAACTTAATTAAAACTTATAACTAACTCTTATGATACAATATTTTTATAGGTTTGAGAAAAACTTTCTTATATCATTGTTTGCTCACTAAAATTTATTTAACTTTTTCAATAGCACTTGCAATAGTTTCATCCAGTATTACTACTTTACTTATGCCTAGAGGATGAACTACTCATTCTAGATTTAAAATTCTCTTAGATATTAATTCAGATTCAATATGTTCTATTAGTAAACAAAGCCATTTAGCCAAATTTTTAAAATTAACAAACTTATTATCTGAGACAAAGTTCTAATAACAAATTGTTATTCAATAGAAGCTTTGGATCGAACTCTAAAAGATCTAATAAAATATAATCTCCTATTTGGTGAAAAAAATTTTGTATTCAATAGAGATTTTTGCCAAATATTACCTGTAATCTCACGAGGAAGTTGTGTATAAATAATTAATGCTACTTTAAAATTTTCTCCTTTATAGTCTATAATGGAAATTTTCTATCTCTACCAAAATATGTGAATTGAAGATAATACTGAAACTAATAACTTCAAAAACTTTCTACTAAGAATCAGAAATAGAACTAAGCAAACTTTAAACAATGATATGATCAGAATTCTAGATAATATGATAATTCACTAGCATAATAAAAACTCTTTGCAAGCACTTATTAAAGAAATATATCTATCTCTCTTTATTAATTTTATGAATAACTCTTACTTTACTGACAAAGCTATACTTACTACAAAAAATGAATATATCAATAACTTAATTATATAATCTTAGACAAACTTTCAGGCAATTATATAATATATCAGAGTTTTGATACAGTTCCAGATGATAACAATAATCTTTATCAACAAGAATTTCTTAATTCTATAAATATAACTGACATCCTCTCTCATGAATTACATTTCAAAGTTAATACATCTATTATCTGCCTTTATAATTTAGATCTACTTAATAGTTCATTAAACTAATATGTCAAGCATTTAATCCTAATATTATTGAAGCAGAAATAACAATAGACAATTATCAAGAAAAATGAATATTTCTTCCTTGAATATCTTTTATCTCTCTGAATAGTATAAAACTTCCTTTTATACTAAAGAGAAAGCAGTTTCCTATTAAACTTGCTTTTGCATTAACAATTAATAAATCTCAGTGTCAAACTATTTCTCATATAGACTCTATTTACCTGAACACATATTTACACATAGTTAACTTTATGTAGCTTTCTCATGAGCTTGATCTTATCAGAATATCAAAGTATTAATCAAAGATAGCAATATTCCTAGTAAAGAAGATGTTTATACATGAAATATAGTATACAAAGAAATTTTACACAATTAAGATTTTACTAAAAATCAATTTTATTAATATATATTATTGTTGAATAACTGTACTGTAATACATAAAATATATAATATATTAAAATAATTTTTCTATATATACTTAGTACAAGCAATTTATAGCAAAACAATTAACAAGAATATTTAATAAACTATAATACAAATTATAAAACATAATCAAAAATAAGACCAAATAATAATATATTAGTTAAAAATAACTAACAATTTCATATTTGTTTTCTCTCTCTAATAATATATTTTTTTAAATTTTGTAACCTTAAATTACTATACAAAGATTGATTTACACACCCTTTACCCTTCTTATATGAAATATTTTTCTTTGTTAACCTATTAATATCTTTTTCAGCAATAATATTAGTTAAATTATTACTTTTTATATTACAAGATCTGCACTTTATATACTCAATATTATCTAAACCTTCATAGTATATTTATCAGAATCATTAGTTTGAACACATTTTGGTGAATAAAAACAATCTGATAAATTAAATTCAGATTTATTTTCAAGATTATACGAACTAACTGAAGGTAAAATTTCAAATTCTAATTGGTTTTTTGAATTCTCAGTAATATTTTGATATGTTATTAAAAGTTTGGATCGAATCGAAGTTTGTAATACAAAAGAACCCTAAGCTGCATTACTATAAAGAAATTTTTCTTGCTAGCAAAACAAGTATTAATATAGTTAATATCTTTCTTATATACATAAAATTTATTATTGATAATTTCCATTTGACCAACAAGAAATACTAATGATTCTAAAGGTTTAATAGTATTTTTCAAATACTTAAAACGTGAATTATAATATAGAAAATAGCTTTTATATTGAAATTATATTCCTGACTAATATAATCATTTACCAATATCTCAACAACTATATCTTCCTTAATTTTCTTAGGTTTTTCTTAAGGAATACCAATTAACGATATCTTCAAAGGATATTTATTCAATTCAAAAACATTATTAAGAATTGTTATATGTGTAAATATCAAAACAGTCATCTAAAATATAAATTAAAAATACAAATTTAGTACTATAAATATTAGTAAATAATAAACAAATATCTTTGCTCTTTAGTTATTGCTATAATATCCAGACATTATCTTGCCTCTAACAGAATAAAACTAATCTTTCTCAAATATCATTTAAGTCTCATAATCTCTATCATTTAAGTCTATTAGTATAAATAAAATCAACTTGATATCGTAATTTTTACATTTAACAGGATATAGATCAAGTATCTACACTACTAGCAAATTCAAATTCTCTTTAACATGTTTTTTTTACATATTTGATCTTCACAATTATATCTGTATAACACAGCATTAAACAAACTTATTTCAAATCTAGTATACATAATTAGATTATAGACATGAACTAGTTTATTTCATAACTATAATTCAAGACTTCTTAAGATCACATAACTATCTACTAATTACTATACAAAAATTATACTTATAATATCTGAAATTACAATATACTGATATTATTATATGTAGTGATTAATAAATAATGACAATTAACTTACATATACAAAACTCTAAAATTGTTAATTATACTACAACCTGTTTTTACTACTTATAATTTATTCCCTGTTATATTATAATTGCATAACAAAGATTTTAATATAATTAATTACAATTTTTATTTGACTTTTTTATTTTACTTTATTTTATTTTTACTTATTTTTCTAATTTATTTTATTTTTATTTTTATTTTTATATTATTTATTATTCTAATTGAAATAATAACAATATACTTATGAGGTACAGAGTACTAAGCATATACCTAGGAAAATATTTCATTATTCTTACAGTACTATTCTAATAAATAAATAGTATATATATGTATATATAAATATATATATATACACAAAATTATACGTATTACTATTATATATATTACATATATTAAATTACAAATAAAATACTTTGTATATATAATATAATATAACTACTTACAAATTTCTGAAAATTCTAACAAATATTAAATCTTAAATAAACTAGGAAAACAGGATTTATTAGATTCTGAAATATCACTTCACTTTAAACAATATTAAAATATAAATAACATATTAATTTATTGGTATCATTTCTACTTTTACAACTTGAGAAAAAGATACTATATTAATAATTCAGCTAGTACATATATTATAAACTATCTATACTAATCATTGAGTATGATACTAAAAAATACTACAAAATCATTGAAGTACAGTATCAATATAATAATAATAATATAATATATAATATATATATAATATAATATAATATATAATTATATAATTATTATATAATATTATATAATATATAACAATAATAATAATAATAATAATAATAATAATAATAATCTATCTATCTATTTATCTATCTATCTATCTATCTATCTACATAATTTAATCTGAGTTGCACACTTTAATATTTTTAATTGTATACGAAAGACCAATTTTATGATACCAGACTTAACGAACAGAGCAGGCTTTAATATTCTCTACAACTGTAAGAACTGAGTATATGGTGAGCGTTTTTACAGAAGACTTATAATTATCTTCAACTACCATTACATTAACACCTACTGAGAACAACTTATGTTATAACAAATTCCTTTCTTATCACAACCTACTAACACTTCCAAATTCACAAA